GGGGGGGGGGGGGGGGGGGGGGGGGGGGGGGGGGGGGGGGGGGGGGGGGGGGGGGGGGGGGGGGGGGGGGGGATTTACGAGCGACACCGGCTCACGTCCGCGCAATTTAAAGCGCAATTACGATCGCTAATGTCCCCGCCGCCAATTATGCCAATTATAATAATCTGTCGACCGATTAATTCGACGAGAGAGAGAGAGAGAGAGAGAGAGAGAGAATCACGACGTTAACAGCGGTGAAACTGGTCCACAGGTGCTCGATGTCCCGTGGCCGAACGCGCCGCCTGTCCAACGGGACTGCCTCTGCTCCAACCGATCCCTGCCGATGAACGTCAAGTCGACCTCGAACATAGTCGAGGTACACTTCACCGTCAGGTCGATGGACGCGTTGGACGACTACAACAACCTGTTCTTCGAGGGTGTGTGGGACTTCGTCAAGACCAGCCCGTGCATGCTGAAACGGAGGGTGAGGGGCCCGTCCGGGGAGATCAGGTACAAGGCGCCGATCATCGACGAGGATGAGGTGAGATGTGTTCTTTTAACGTTACGCGACCACATCAATCAATGTTACGGGAAATATACAATCGTCATTGTCCACAGTTTTGACAGAGTCGAGGAGTTTGAGCGTTGACGATGTAGTAAATGAATTTTTTAATAATTTCGCGGTAACACATTTGAGACACTGGTTTTCGGACGTTCGAAAGTTCGCAGTTTGAACTGACTGTGAGTTCGCAGTACATTCGGCAAACGCGTCTGGAAAAAGTAATCGATGGTACGAAAGCGTTTGAACAGTAAAAGTTCTCCGATGTTCCTAAAATTCCTCGATATTTAAACTTGTAATTTTGTAAAAAAGAAGAAAAAAGAATAATGCAGCAGATAGTAATGTATTATATAGTAAGTTACTACTATATTATTACTATATTTTACTATATATTACTAATTTTGTAAAAATATATACTAATTTAATAAATTTATTATATACTAATTAAATACTAATAAATTTGTAAAAATATATACTAATTTTGTGAAAAAGAAAAAAAAGAATAATTCAGCAGATACTATAGTAATATATTATATAGTAAGTTACTACATTACTATATTATTGATATATTTTACTGTGCATTACTATATTTATAGTAATATACTATTTACTATATTGCTATATATTAATATATAAATATATTACTGTGTTTTACTATATATAATATATATATATTTATTTATTTATAGTAATATACTATTTTTTATATTACTATATTTATATACTACTATACATTACTATATTTTACTACATATTACTATAACTAAATATATTACTATATATTACTATTACTATAAATATATATACTATATATTACTATTACTATTACTATAAATATATATATATATATTTATAGTAATATACTATTTTCAATATTACTGTATTTATATACTACTATATATTACTGTAACTAAATATATTACTATATATACATATATTTATAATAATATAGTATATTTATAGTAATATATTATTTTCTATATTACTATATTAATATAATACTATATATTACTACAACTAAATAGATTACTATATATTACTATTGCTCTATATATATATATATATTTATAGTAATATAGTTTATAGTAATATATTATTTTCTGTATTACTGTATTTATATACCACTATATATTGCTATATTTTACTATATATTACGTTATGTTGCTATTAATTATATTACTGATTGTATTAGTTATATATTAATTATAATATTAATAATTAATAATTATTATATACATTATATATAACATATAATATATATAACTAACAGAACATAATATAATGTTCCGGTAGTATAACATTCGAGTATTAACACTCATTTTGATAGATACAAAATTCACACAAAACTCTACTATACCCGACTAAGTAATAACAGTATTATACAAAGTGAAAAACGTTTAAATCATTTCGCAGTTCGTCAATATTTAATTTATATATCTCTCTGAGTGCAACAAACATAATTTACATTATCGTTACATTAGAATGAACAAACGGTGAAACCTTGAAACAGAGCCTTGAAAATTTTACATTTTCAATGTCGGAAATAAATTTCCGTAAAGGTGGATACACCTCAGACGCCGGAATAGATGTATCCTCAGACTTTGGAGATTCTCACATTTTCCGTTCTCGTTTTCGTTTTCATTTTTCAGAAAAACTGCGAGAAGTATCCGTGGCTGATCGAGCCCGGGCCGAACCAGTACCTCTACGTGAAGATGCACGGCACGATAATGTCGAACGCGAGCAAATGCGCGACGAAGAACCGGATCGTGGTGCACACAGGCGGGGCGATCCACGTCTCGGTGTGCCCGAGGCCGCCCGCGGAGTCGAGGCATTACGTGGTCGAGGTTTTCAGCGACGGCTGGGCCGTCAGCAGCAACGCGATGATCCTGGCGCCGGGTCAGGACCCCGTCAGGACTATAGCCGTCGAGTTTATCGTCGAGGAACCGGACACCTACACGGTCACCTGGCTCGAGCTCACTAGAAGGTGAACGTTCAACGTGTCTCTATTATTTCTCTCTTTTTTTTTTTTTTTTTTTTGNTTATTTCTCTCTTTTTTTTTTTTTTTTTTTGTTTCCCTTCCCTTCTCTTTTGTTCACTAGATTTTCAAACGCGAACAGTTGTTCGTTCACTTTGTTCTTTGAGTATTTATTTAGCAATTCCTTCGGCGTTCAACGATAAACAGCTATCTCACGTTGTGCCTCACCTTTGAGGAGGTACCAATAGCGATTGCCCCCAATCCGCCAGGATGCCCGCAAAGAGCCCCATTCAAAATGAGAAAGTTGTCATTGATCGCCGTCTCTGATCCGACAACCGACGAGATTCTATTTCGTGAATCTTGTTCGAGGGCGGGAAATCCACGGGAGGAATCCTCCGAGATTGCACTCTTAGAAACTTGGTTGGACAAAGCGGTAAGAAGTCCTCTACGTTTCGAAAAAAAAGATTGCCGCTGAGAGGACTCGACGAAGATTTCTCCTACTGCTCGTTGCAGCAACTTCTTCTCCGCCGCTTCTTTCGCTAAAATCCCATTCCAGACGGCGCTAATAAATCGTCCAGCTTCCTCGGCCATCTTTGTTTCTTCTCCCAAAATTTCGCTTCGTTCTTCCAACTGTGCTTCTCGGCGTCCACTTAAGAAAGTGGATGCCAAACGTCTCTCAGGCTCCCCTTTGCTGTCTCGCTGCAGAGACACTGAAAGAGAAAATCTTATCGTGTCACTTGAAACTAAAATCCTATTTGAGAAGTTCGTGATCTTCTTAACGTGTCCGGTAAAGCGCGAAGCGTTCACGCGGTCGCCCAACAAAATCGACAATTGTTTCCTTCGAATGAAAAGTGGCCGTGCCGAGTTAACGAGTTTACTTTTGTTTATCTTTTGCACGAAAACAGACAAAGTGGTTTAGCAGAAACGATCTTACGTGCAAAAGTAGGCACGTTTGTTGTTGCTATCTTTGATTTGAAATTAGAAACCTTTGTCTGGGAGTAAGTGCGACCATTTCGGCCGAGTATTGGGCAGGCCATTGTTTTCAGTTCATTGTAATTCTTCCCTTTATTTAATATCTTTTTATACTTTAGTATTTTCTTTACCTTTATTATGTTTATTATTTAATTTATTAAATTTATTTAACAGATTAAATTTTTACGTTTTAGAAATATTAAATGTTGTAAATGTTAATAATTTTAAATTTGTTTATGTAATTTTATGTTTTTTAATTAAAATTCCAATATATATATATATTGGAATTTTCGGAAATATATATATATTGGATCGTCGAGGAATTATATATATATATTTATAATTCATGGATGATTGTTAAAAGCTCATATTGAAGCTTCATTTTTTATTTCAATAATTTCAACTTCAATTATATTAAAATTAGGAACATGTGGATTATTACAAATTATATATATATATATATATATATATATATATATATATATATATATATATATATATATATATATATATATATATATATAT